GAAGCAAGACGGCTCCCTTTCCTGCAATTCTCCTCCTGCCCCGTGTGGAGCCGCCGGCTTCCTGTTCTTGGGTCCTAGCCGGAGGTGGGCTCTCGGAACCGGGGCTGCGCTGCTGCCCGACTCGTCCCCCTTGGAGCCCCGGCCCGGCTCGCAGCTGCCGGATAGTGGCAGGGAGGGGGAGATACTGGAGCAACTGGGCGCTCTCCAGCTGCCGATAACCCCGTCTCCGCCGCAGAAGAGCCTCCGTCCTCTCGCCGAGTCTGGAGTTTTTGTTTGTTTGTTTGTTGGCTGTTGGGATTATCGGCTTTTTTGTTTCTTATTTCCCCCACCACCACCACCTTCACCTTCCTCTCTTTTGGAAACGTTTAATTAAATTTAATTGAGGAACACGCGTCCCTCCCGCACCCTGTTGCACCCTCACCGCCGGCCGGCAGTCTGCTGAAGAAGAAAAAGAAGAAGGAAGTTTTTTTTTTTTAAATTGAACTTTATTTTTATTTATTTTTTTACAAACGGTCCTCCGCTGACTCCCCCACCCTGTACAAAACCGTACAGTTTCCTGAGGGTGTAGGGGGTCGGGGTGTATATATATATGTATTTATTTTTTTTATCAATAAAGGAGAAGTCCGTTGACTTCGATGGGGCCCGCTGTGCGCCGTGACGCGTCGGCGCCCTGGTTGAACTTTTGCGGGCCGCGAATCTCTCCCCTTCCGCCGGTAGGACTTGCGGACTGAAATGGAGACGTAGCAGTTCTCCTTATTATATGTTTCGGCGCAGGCTCGCTTCCCTCCCCCCTGTCCTCCTCCTCCTCCTCCCCTCCTCGGCGGTCTTTTCGTCTTCCGTTTCGCGGTCTCATCCCTCCTGCCTGGGACGCGGACTCCCAAGCGACCGGCGGCGGCGGCGGGCGCCGGCCTCCCTCCGCCCCGGGCCTCCTCATGAGCCGGGCCGGCGGGGCGGGACAGGCGAGGGCCGCGGCGCTTGCGAGAGACAGGGAGTGTGACTGACCGATAGACCGACCCCCCCATCTCCTTCCCCCAGGGGGGGGGGGGAAAGAGAGGGCTTTTTTTTCCTCTCCCTCCCCCCCCTCTCCCTCCGCAATGGAGCCGCTGAAAAACATTTTCGCCCGCGGCCCGCTGTCCGGCTGGAAGGCCGGCCTGGACGCGCCGCGGGCGGCGGCGGCGGCGACGACGACGGGCAACTTCACCAACCCGGTGTGGACCGCCCTGTTCGACTACGAGGCGGCCGGCAAGGATGAGCTGACCCTCCGCAAGGGCGACCTGGTGGAGGTGCTGTCCCTGGACTCGGAGGTGTCCGGGGACGAGGGCTGGTGGGCGGGCAAGGTGAACAACAAGGTGGGCATCTTCCCCTCCAACTACGTCTCCTTCAAGCCCAGCGCCTACGGCCCGCTGCCCGGCCCGGCGGCGGCGGCGGCGGCGGTGGTCGGGGCCGCCTGCGAGCCGGAGGAGGTGGACTTCCGGGAGCTGAGCCTGGAGGAGGTCATCGGCGTGGGCGGCTTCGGCAAGGTGTACCGCGGCGTCTGGAGGGGCTCGCTGGTGGCCGTCAAGGCGGCCCGGCAGGACCCGGACGAGGACATCAGCGCCACGGCCCAGAACGTGCGGCAGGAGGCGCGCCTCTTCGCCATGCTGACGCACCCCAACATCATCGCCCTGCAGGGGGTGTGCCTGCAGGAGCCCAACCTGTGCCTCATCATGGAGTACGCGGCCGGGGGGGCCCTGAGCCGGGCGCTGGCGGGGCGCCGGATCCCCCCGTACGTGCTGGTGAACTGGGCGGTGCAGATCGCCCGGGGCATGCTGTACCTGCACAGCGAGGCCATCGTGCCCGTCATCCACCGCGACCTCAAGTCCAACAACAGTGAGTGAGCGCCGCCGCCTCTTCCTCCTCCTCCTCCTCCTCTCTCGTCCGCGCACAAGCCCTGCCTGTGCGTTTCCAGGGGGTGTAAAAGACGAGTCTGGAACAGCCTGGACCGTGACAAAGAGAAACGCAACCCTGGTCAGGGAGGGAAGATTTCTGGAAATAATAAGGATATTTTGATTAAGGGTGATGGTGATTATCCTGGTCAGGGAGGGCAGCGGCTTCCGCAGGGTTTCTTAAACAGATGATCATCCTTACACTTCTATAGCGCCTTTCTGGACCCTCCACTCGGAGCCCTTTACGGGTCATGGGGATCCCCTCCACCTCCAGCAGTGTGTATCCCCACCTGGATGATGCACCGGCAGCCAGCAACTAGCATGTTTGTGGACTGTGGGAGGAAACCCACAGGAACCTGAGGGGGACGTGCAAACTCCACACAGACAGCACCCCAGGTCCATAAGGCAGCAGTGCTCACCACTGTGCCACTGTCCCGGTCTCATTCATCTCATTATTATGAGATGAATGGCCAGCAGCCATATCACCCTGCAACTCACCACTGGCAGCCCCACTGGAGCTCAGCAGGTGGGAGCCTGGTCAGTACCTGGATGGGAGACCTCCTGGGGAAAAAGCTCAGGCTGCTGCTGGAAGAGGTGTTAGTGGGACCAGTAGGGGGCGCTCACCCTGCGGTCCATGTGGGTCCTAATGCCCCAGTGTAGTGACGGGGACACTAGACTGTAAACAGGCGCCGTCCTTCGGATGAGACGTAAAACCGAGGTCCTGACTCTCTGTGGTCATTAAAAA